CCAGGAAACCAAAGCGGAGCCAAGAAAGACACAGTATCCAGTAACGGAACGTTGGTGAACCGGATTGGAACCCCAATCAGAATCAGCATAAGCTTCCAACTTGAGGTCTGAATGAGAGGGATAGAATAGACCAGTGCTAGCAGTTCTTTAAGATACTTCAAGGCATGTAATAGAGCATTCTAATGCTCCACACAGGGTGCATGAACATATTTACTGAGCTGTTGAACAGCATAAGACAGATCAGGCCTAGTGAAATTTAAGTAAAGAAGCTTACCAACCAACTTTCGATATAATGACACATCAGGAATAAGTGCGCCACTAGCTTCACTGAACTAGAAGCCCTTAGGTAAGGGTGTGGTGGTAGCCTTACAACCGGAAAGACCTGTATCTTGGAGAATATCAAAGATATACTTTCTTTGACTCAGGTACATGCCTTCAGGGGATCTAGCGGGTTCAATACCCAGAAAATACTTGGCATATCCAAGATCTTTAATAGAAAAAGCAGCATGCAAAAACTGTTTAACTTTGACAATCTCAGATTCAACAGAGCCAGTAATCAAAATATCATCCACATAGACTATAAGGGCCATAAACTGGGAACCTTGGTGCACAGTAAACAAGCAAGGATCATGTCTAGACTGAATGAAACCATAAGACTGAATTCTGGATGTAAATTTGGCATTCCACTGTCAGGATGCCTGTTTTAAACCATATAAAGATCGTCGTAATCGACATACCTGACCTGGTTTGGCCAGAGTATAGCCATCAGGAGGCTTCATGCAGACTTCTTCTTCCAAACTGCCATGAAGAAAGGCGTTGTTGATGTCTAGTTGATGAAGAGACCAACTGTGGGCTGAAGCTAATGCCAAAAGGATCCGAACAATAACTATTTTAGCTACAGGAGAAAAGCTGTCATAAAAATCTTCACCCTCTATTTGATTATAGCCTTTTGTAACTAGGCGCGCCTTATATCGTTCTATGGTACCATCTGAGTAATACTTAACTTTGTACACCCATTTGGAACCAATAGCTTGTTTTCCTGGAGGCAAAGAGGTTAGTTCCCAAGTATTATTGCTTTCTAAAGCATCTAATTCATGTTTCATGGCTGCTATCCATTCTGGACAAGTTCTGGCTTGGTGGTATGTTTTGGGTTTAGGAATGCTGTCGATTTGAGCTAGGAAAGACAAATGAGTAGAAGAGAAAACAGGTTGGTATGTATAGGTTTCAAAGGAAGGCTGATTAGCAAACATGGCGGAAGCAGTGGACGAAGGTTTCTGTTTTATGTGTTGAGTGACATAATCTTTCATCCAAGTAGGAACAGTTGTAGTTCTAGTACTTCTTCGGAGAGAAGTCGCTGGGGTAGGAGAAGAAGTAAGATCAATATTCTCATGATTCAAAAAAGGTGAATGAGGGATAGATGTAGGATTACCGGAGGAGGAAACAGGACTGAATGATAAGACAGGTGAAGATTCTGATGAGGAAGGAGTAGGTATCGAAAAATGAGAAGGATCAGGCCAAGATTCGTCAATAGCTGAAGAAATGGGACTAGGTTGAGAAGGAGCTGGAACGTCAGATTTATAAGGGAAGACAGTCTCATGAAAGACCACATCTCTAGGTACAAACACTTTGCGAGTAACAGGATCAAAAAGCTTGTATGCTTTTTGACCATGTGGATACCCAATAAAGATGGCTTTGATGGCTTTAGGATGAAATTTGCTTTTATGGGGAGTGGTATCGGTAGCGAAACACAAACAACCAAACGTTCTTAAATGGTGATAAGCTGGAATTTTTGTGAAAAGGATTTCATAGGGAGTCTTGCCTTCGAGAACGGAAGATGGTAGACGATTAATGAGATATGTGGCTGTGAGTATGGAGTCCCCCCAAAAGGTTTTTGGTAAGCCTGATTGGAAAAGAAGTGATCTAGCCACTTGAAGTAAGTGTTTATGCTTTCTTTCTACGATACCATTCTGTTGGGGTGTGTAAACACACGATTTCTGGTGTATAATTCCTAAATCTGAGAAAAGGTTTTGGCATTCTTGGCTAAGAAATTCCAGGCCATTGTCTGATCTAACGATTTTAAGGGGTTTTTGAAACTGGGTTTGAATCATTCTAATAAAGGTTTTGAGTTGAGTAAGAACTTGAGTTTTATCTCTCATGAGAAAAGTCCATCTGGCTCTACTATAGTCATCCACAATTGTTAAAAAATAATGAGCTCCACTGATAGACGTTTGTTTATATGGACCCCAGATATCCATATGAACTAGTTCAAAAATATCTGTGGTATGAATAGTACTAACAGGAAATGGTAAACGATGTTGTTTAGATAAAGGACAAATGTCACAAACAGGAGTATTATTTTCTGATGGATCAAACAATAACAATAATCTCACAGTCTTTTCAGAAGGATGTCCCAACCTATTGTGCCATAAGGCGTTATTCATGCTATTTACATGGTTGGAGGAATGCAAACTAATAGTTTCTACATTGCTCACAAAAGGGTGATTAACATGTGTTCTAATGAAATCTAGAATCTTGCCTTTGGAAAAGGATTGTGGATCAACAATGTAAAGCTGGTTCACAACCCTTCCAACGGCAACCAATTTCCTAGTCACTTGGTCCTGCAACAGGCAAAAGGTTGTGGAAAAATAGCAATCAATCTTTGATGATGATGCTAATTTGGACACTGAAATGAGATTATGTTTGAATGTAGGGATATGCAAACAGTCATGCAGTACTAGGTCATGGTTTAAAACTATCTGTCCTTTGTTTTTCACATCACTGACACTACCATCTGGTAAGTATACAGGTGTAAGTATTTTTACTGGTTTAAACTGGTTTAAGGTTTGAAGATCATAGGTCATATGGCTAGTGGCACCAGAATCTATAATCCAGCATAGCAACAACATGAAATCTAATGAACTTAGAGCTCTGAAAGTTTTCATACCTGCGAAATCCGAGAAGTGAGCAAAGTTGATGTGTTCTCCGTCTATTCCTTTCCCTTTAAGCATCCTGCTAAGCTCTTGCTCCATCCTCTTTATGTTATTCATCATGCCCATGAGTTCACCAGTTCCTTTCTTGTCACTTTTAGTCTCTAGATCAGTTGGTGCTTATGTGCTGAAATTCTTCCTGGTTGAGATGACCTTCGTTCCTTTAGTTCCTTGAACCAATCAGGATAACCTATAAGTTTGAAGCACCCCTCTCTCAAATGACCATTTATGCCACAATAGTCACATTTGAGTAACTTCTTTGCAGCCTTGTCTCTCCTCAACTCATTTTCCTTTCCAATGTTACTAAAACTGTTTCTAGAACCAGCATGATTTCCTGTACTGTTGTATCCTCCTTTTGAGCTTGAAGCAGCATTGAAGCCTGTTTTATGAGCCACCATTACATTTTGAACCACTGGATTATGTGTCATCATTGCACTTTGAGCTGTGGAACTGTCCAGAGATATATGCAACAATTGTTATCTCTCCACATTCATCACCATGGAATAAGCCTTTTTCACATCTGGCAAAGGCTCTGTGGCTAATATCTGATTCTTAATAGGTAAATAAGAATCATTAAGTCCTGTTAAAAACTGCATAAGCCTATCTCTGATTTCCTTTCCTCCATTCGGTCTGTTATGCTTACAAGTACAGCCATTACACGTGCAAACATCTGGAGGATTTATACTACTCAACTCATCCCAAAGTTTATTTAATTTTGTATAATAACCAAACAAATTGAGATTACCTTGTGTGAACTTTCCAATTTCTCGCTTCAGCTGATAGATCTGAGGCGCATTACTAGTGCCAAACCCATCCTTCAAGTCTTGCCATAACTCAGCTGCATCATTAGCCATATTAAATCCTTCAAGAAGATCACTCGAGATTGAATTCAATATCCAGGAGACCACAGTATCGTTAACTCTGCACCATAGCTCAAATTCAAGGCTCCCAGCCATCGGTTTCTCCACAGTTCCCATAATGAACCCCAGCTTGTTCTTCGAACTCAAAGCTCTCCTCATTGAGTGACTCCAAGTCACGTAGTTGTTCGCTGTCAATTGACAATTGATGATTGTCAGACTAAGGCTGTCAGACGGCAATAGCGTCAATGGATGCATGTATCCACCAAAATTTATAGCTGAATTCTCTCTCCGAACTTCATTCAAGCTCCGCTCATCCTGAAATCCTTCATTCCTTTGCTCAATTCGAATTTCATCAGTTCTTCCCGTCATTCGTCGCGAACCTTCTCCAAATCGATTCTCCTCCATTTCTTCGAATTTTTTAGAGCGGTTTGTGAGGTTTTGCTAGAACTATAAGCTAGGACAGTTTTCAGAAGCAGGATTAACCTGCTCTGATACCATCTTAAAGAATTGGTAAATCTTTCATCTAGGGTTTTCTGTTTCAAAGAGGAAAAATTGGGAGAGAAGAAATTGTATATTCCTGAATGTAAAAACATGAATAATCATCTGTATTTGTGCTATACAAGCTTATATACATAAAGCCTCATTGAAAAGACTTCTGTACCCCTTCTCATAACTACACTCCTATACAAGTACTAAGGTCAAAACAGTATATTTAAACAAAACTACACAAACTGTACAATACAACTCTTATCCTGGATTAAACTCCTTATTCTCTTCAGATAAAAAGGACAAGTAAATCACATAAGTTAGTGAAACAATTACCTTAAAGAGAATGTATGTATGTTTAGAATGTAAATTTTGACCATATTTAAATTGAACTAGATTTAAAGTTATGCATATATGTATGTTATAGTTTGGCCCGGTTTCATTTTTACCTCTGGATTGTGGAATATAAAATAAAAGTAGAGTCAATTTTCCAAGTTGTGGACCACTGTGAGTCATCTACCCAAGAATACAAAAGCAAGCAAAAGGGGAATACTTCATTTTTGCTGGTCCCTAGATTCCCAGCTACAGTAATCATCATCTTTAATCATCTCATCTGAATGCCATCTCTTACTCCTGGATTCAGCTTCCCCATATCTCCTTCGCGATGTTACTGAATGCGTTGACATAGCGTTCCGCAACTCTCTGACTTGCTGACTACAAAAACCAAAAGTTCATTGGTCAAGTTGAGATTCTATAACCACAATGACAGAAAACTACAATTCATAGGCTATTGGAATTTGTGTTCAAGATAGTCACAAACTTCGTTTCAACCCTAACTAAATGGAAGATTCACCTCAATAGTACCAAGCTCCTCAAGAGACTCCGAAGCCACATCAATGGCTTTGGATGTAACCTCAGAGCGAACAAAGCCATAATGGGGAAGCAAAGCACATTGCATCATTTAATACCGTCTCTACCGATAAACCCAAAAAGAAACTAAAATTTAACTTGCCTTCAGCAAGGGTGAACTTGGTAGTCTTTGAAGAAAACATCATTGCTTCTTTCTCCCCTATTAGAAAATTGATCAGCCAATAATCAGAATCAGCAAAAACTTATAAAAGCCAATCATGGTTTCCAGCAAAACTTCATGTACAATTATAAGACAAGTTTATGTTCTCTTTTCGAAAGTAAATTGATAAATTGTGCAATCTCACAAAGAAACCAATGATCTCCTGGTAGTTCTCGATAAGGCAACTCAATAACGGCAACAGCAAAACTACTACACAAACATAAGGTTAAAGATATTCAAAAACTTTACTTTCTTCCTCTAAAAATTCTGCAGCCTTCTTGCGTTTAATCTCAGCTTCCAGATCCATGGCCATCTTTACCCCATCAGGTAGACCTATATCACCTGAAATGACATTTTCATGTTTAATAAAAGATGTTAAAACCAAGTGCAAGTGCAACAGACAGAAAACTCATGTATCAAAATCAATCAAATCATAACATACTTATGACATAACGGGTGCATTTTATGCCCCAAGCAGTTGAGACCTCATTCAGGGATATCTGCACCCAAAAATTTGGGAAACAATAACATTATCTCATGAACAGATCAATACAATGAAAGGATTAAAAGCCTAATTCAAGCCATCCAAGCCAACGAAGAAACCAATAGAGACAATTAGAGAATACAGTTATTGATCAAAGAATAGATAGCTTGCCTCTATAGTCTGGTTGATATTAGGTCTGGTCTCAATTAGTCTGTCCAAACTGAGCTTTCCAATCTCAGTGTCCAAAATACTTTGTGCTAATTCAATGAGACCCCCGATGGGATTTTCAGATCCATAAGAAGCTAGTACAGGATCCACAACCTGTATAAAGGAAAGGGGACTGTGATTAGGGATGTGTATGGGAACAAGAATCAGATCATCTTTCAAACTGTTAAAGTATGGCCTAAATATATCAGATAATCCTCCCAAATGGAGGGGAAATTCGTCGTCAGTGATTTAAATTATGGGAACACATTGAGGAATTTGGGCTAGCACTAGTAACCACTGTATCATACGATTTTAGACAGAGTACCCCATTTTACTTTGGGTCTAAAATCGTACCCCATTTTACTTTGGGCTAACCACTAATACTTTGGCCCATTTTGTTTAAGATGTTACCCCAACTATTTTAGTTATCAAAGGACAAAAGTTTCAGATCACCAGCCCAGCACAAATTCGGAATTTCTACTCCTCCATACTATAACCAAAAAAAAACAAGGAGGAGGAAGAAGAAAACTGGGAAGATGTTACCTTCATGAGGAGAATTCCGGTGACAGTGATAGGAACTCCGTCCTTGGTAATAGCCTCTTTGGATGGGAGATGGATCAGTCTTTCTTTTAATGAATGGACAAACATAATCCGATCCAGAAACGGATTCACAAGATGAACTCCCGCTGTCAATGTCTTGGAATACTTGCCCAACTTCTCAACCACGTACGCCCTCCCTGGATGAACAATCACGATTCCCAAATTGATGATTGCCGGCTGAATCTCATAAATCTCCCCATGGAAAGCACCTCCGGCAGTACTAGGTTCAAAAAAAAATAAAATAAAATAAGAAGAGGAATAAAAAATCCAAAAAGCTGCAAGCTTTTCTGCAATTTGAGGCCATTTTCCGGAGAACGAGGTTGGTTGATTACCTGTAATGGGCGGCGGCCTGACGATCCTTAAACAAAGAGCATGAGTTCTGGGAGATTACTCTAGCCGGAGATGAGAACGTCTGTTGCAGTGGTCGGAGCTTTAGGTTAGAGACTACTAAAGCTCGGGGCTGCTTCTGAGTGGTACAAGAAAATAGCGGAGGCGGCAGAGTGGCCATCCTTGGGACCATGGGGAAGCTGAAACGGCTGTGCTGCAGGAGCCTTTTGGTCCGCCGGAAATGGACGAGGTTCATATCTCCTCCCTCTGTTGGCGTTGGGGGCTAAGCCTGACAGCGGTGAAGTATGGGGTGGCGAGCCGGTGAGCTGGTGAATGGAGGGATGTCGTGGGGTAGTTTGTAATACAATTGTTAAATGTATTACAAACAACACACTACAATGTCGTTTCTTTAAAAATATAATCATAAATTCCTGCTCCGTCATTGATGAGAGTTGATCGTTGAGATTCATCAAAGTTATTATCACTAGGCTTTAAAAAAAAGAAGAATAAGAAAGAAAGTTACAAAAAAAGAAAAAAAAAAGTAATGTATAGGATCCCAATTTATATTATAAATAATATCATAAATTATCGAAATTAAGTACCATACTATTCGTTGTTGTTGTTGTAAAGGAAAGCTATTTTAGTGACTAGGCAAGTTAAATTGATTTTATTTAATCGAAGAAAAAGGGAGATAGAATAAATTTATAGTCTAGTCAAGTAATGCCATGGTTCTTTTAGGGGAAAAAATAATTTTTTTAAAAAAAACATAGAAATGAAACATTAATATTAGTGTGGATTGACTGTCATTTGACTAATTCTATAGAGAGATACAGAACACCTTGAGGAAAAAATGCTGCTGCCTTGTAATTTGTATTGCGAAAAGGGGGGTCTAGGAAGGCTGGCAATCTCCAATATGACCCGGAATTTCGACACGAACCCGACACGAAATAACCTGACACGACCACGATCGTATAATAAACAGGTTGGATTAGGGTTGGGAATTTGAGCCCGTTTATTATACGGGTCGGGTTTGGGTCAACCTGTCGGGTTACCCGGATCACCCGTTTATGTGTAATATATACATTTTTTAGGGGTATCTTGAAAATTTTCAACATTACTAATCCTAATTCTAAGACTATATATAGCCAAAATTTACTTTTACTTGCCCTCATTTTTTTTCTTTCTCACGGCGGCTGACCCAAATATCTCCTCTCTGTCTTCTTTAGATCTAGGAGCATTCTTCCACCGTTCCTCTCCAAAACCCCAAGAGAAAGAAGTCGAATTCCTACACTTCAAGCAGAGCCCATGAGCTGTATATACGACGGCAAATTTAGCAAGTTCTTCACGGTCCCGAGATGAAGCTATATTACATGAAAGTGATTTCAAGACTTTGATGTTATTGCTGATACGATTTTGCCATTTTTATTCTTTCTTTGCTTTGAATTTTGTAATCGAAACGATATTTCTGGTGGTAGCATAGTAAAATCAAAATTTCCCGGTATCCCACTATCCCCCCTAATATGTATTCTTTTTCTTCCTCATATTTCTGAAAAATTGTTGTTGCAAATATGTAAATTCATATATTGTACTCTTTTTCCGTGTTGCTTCTTATTTAGATTGCATTTTGATCCGTGTTACTTGTCGTTACTGATTTGATTTTCATCTAGATTTTGGTAAACTTATTTTTCTACGAATTGTGGCTTGGTTTGGAGCCCTCAGCATTGAAAAATGTCAATTGGCTTAAGTTTGAGTATTCACGGATGATAACTGATGGATTTATGAATTTATTGCTCATTGTTGCGCCAGTTTGTTGATCTGCAATTTTTTTTTTAATCAATTAAGTTTTACGGGTTAACAAGTCGACCCGGGTCAACCTGACCTTTAAAAGGTCGGGTTAAGATTGACAATCCCGACCTGTATAATTAAACAGGTAGGGTTCGGCTTAGAGGTATTTTTCGAGGGTCTGGGTTCGACCCGACCTGCCAACCCTAACCCGACACGAATTGCCAGGCCTAGTTCTAGGCTGCATAAAAAGAACAAATCATAGTACTACAACTCTGCAACTGCAGATACATAGTAATAATAGATAGTGGGCAAATGAATATAGTAACGGTGCAATGTATTAAAAAAAAAATATTTTTTTTGAAAACAATATGGTGAGGGAAAAGACCATAAAAGAAATCGAAGTCAACAATCACTACGATTTTTGAAAATCATTCAATAACAAGAAAAGAAATCGAAGTCAACAATAAATTTGTCTCTTTTCCGGTAGTGTTATTCAGACAAAAAATACAAAATAAAAAAAATACTACAATGGAGAAGTTGCATGTGATTATGCCTACTTTTGTTTCGGGGAACTTAGTATTATTTTTCATCGAACTCATTGTTATTACTATTTCTTTTTCGCTTTTTGTCGATCAAACTTTCAACACATATTTTATACTCTTTCCGTCCCATAATTATTGTCCAATTTGAGTTTTCATTTACAGTCCAAATTATACTAAAAGTAAAATATCAAACTGGACAATAATTTTGGGACAGAGGGAGTATTTCATAAAAAAGGGTTATGGATAACTTAACCTAAAGTGTAGTTTTGTGTTATAACTTAAATTTTGATTGTTAGAAAATTAAAATTTACCGTCTCATAAACAAAAACTAAACATATTAACTCTTCCCTCATTAAAAAAAAAAAAAGAAAAAAGAAAAGAAAAATCAAAAGCCTAAAACTGTAGATGGTTGCTCCCAAAATGACTGTCTTCTGCCAAAAAGAATAGGGAACATGAGAACAGGGCCGGGCTAGTAGCTATCTAATCTGGTCAATCTGTTCTGGTGACAATCCTGCTATCGGCCAATTGCCCAAACTTTCTTAATAAATCCCATCAACTTTTTTCTTGAGAGAAAATGTTCCCCCAATTTTGGAAGTTGCATATGTACTAGCATTCCCCCAAAGTTTTCATATCTGGTCTATCGATTAAAGATAAAACTGATAAAGGTATTATTTTATCCATCAAATAACATCAATTTGAAATTGAGAAATTCTTGCAGAAAAATTAGTTGTTCAACTTTTATGTTAGTATAATGATTGTGGAAAATAAGAAATTTAAACTATTCTGATGAGCATGACGTTAACGTAAAAGATACTCCTTCCGCCCCACAAAAATAATTCAGTTTTAAAATCTACAATTTTTTATTATAGTCAACTCAATGAATGTACAACTTATTTTGGTCTTAAATTCCGTTTCTATCCCTGTTATGTCCCAAGTCCCAACGGGCACAAATTTGAAACCCATAAATCCTGTCTATTTTTTTCTTCCCACAAAGGCAATAAACATTACAGGTCTGTCGAATTTCTTCATCAACACCTTTCTTTGGTCATTCGTCACCGTCGTTAAGTCCGTTGCAATCCTCTCCATGCTTTGCTTCTTCTTTCTCTTCTGTGGCTACACAACTTAAATTTTGAACTCTATTGTAACAAAGGACTTTTTCCAATTTAGTATAGATCTAGAATTTTTCCTTCCCGAATGGAAAATGGCAGAGGTTTCAGTCGCTTCCAGTGTCGGCGGTGATTAGATCTTGAAACCAATGATGGAAAGAGGTGGCGGCGATAGCGGGAAAGATTGGGAGAAATGGTGAAATTGGTGAATGTTTGGTTATTGAGGGGGAACCGATTTGGTGAATGATTTACTCGAACATTTCATAGAGTACTACTGTCTAACATTTCATGTTTTACACTTTTTACATGAAGAGTCTGAAGAAATTCAATTTTGTGGAAGAATCTAAAATAAGGATTAAAATATGCACCAGCTTCGCATGCCTATTGGACTTGTTCCTAGCTGGATAAAATAGAAGCCAAAAAATTGGAGAGGTAAAAAAATTACTGCTGTATGTCTTTGCAAATGGCAATAATCATGGAGGTAAACGACACCCATCTACTGCAACCTTATGCATATCTTCTTATGCAGCATGACAAGATATCAAACTGAATCTACCCCAACCTCTTCAAAGAAAAAGGGAAAGCGAAAAAGAAGTAACAGGCATGAAATGGGCACAGAAACAGTAATCTTGGCTCAAAATGGTTGATCATCAAGATGATGCAGCAACAGGCATGGGGTTATCAACTGTAGTTTCAACATGATGGATAACGAATCCATAGATCTTTTGCTTCAAGTGCTCAATTTTCGCCATTATCAACTCATCCCGTTTGGACACTACATGATCCAACCAGTCATTCACTCTCTTCAGCTGGGATAGAATTGCAGCAATGGGACCATTGTTGGGACCTCCTGCATTAGCACCAGTTGGACATTTTTCGAACACCCTGAAACCTGCATCTAGGGACTCCTCAACAAATCTCAAGAACCACATCTGCATCTCTAACTGCAATTTCTTGGCAAAATCCGAGGTTTCACTCATTCCCTGACCCCTGATCCAGGGGGCCCCTGTAGCTGATGATGAACCTGGCTTAACATTCTTAAGGGAAGCAGACTTCTGTTTAGATGATGAACTTCTCTCTACTGCTGATGATGGTTGTTCAAAGTTTGGATTTGTTAAAAGAGAGACCACTTCAAGATCAGTTGCCAGAGCAGCTTCTACCCAAAGGGTACTGGATTTGGCGGGCTCTACAGCAGTGATAGTTTCATGGGGTTTTCCCATACCACGGCTATTTGCAAGTGATTCAGTGAGTGTTGTTGATTTCACAAGACCTTCGTAAATTGACATGAACTGATCAATGGTAGGCAGAGGATTTGATGGCCTTGAGGACAAGCAGAGATCAGAAAATTTGCTGGAGATCACAAAAGGTACATTGTTAAGTTCATAAAAGAACACAAAGCAATATATGCTCAAGTAATCTAACAATTCAATATAGTTTAAACATGACTGTGGCACCACATTTGTATTTTTTCCATTTGAAACTATGAAGCTGCAATAACCAAGTAGAGGTCACAAAATTACATTGCTAACAATGCACAATTTCAGATAGACTCATTTCCAAGTAGCTGGACAAGTTTTGATGAAAGAGTGCAAGCAAAGAAATATTATAAAGAACGGACATCCTAATTTCAATACTAGCCACAACAAGAAAATGACAATTAGTTTTCTTACACAAGTCTGAATTCAGAAAATCAAAGTGGTAACACTCTCACCTCAAACTCCTCACAATAGACTCAGTGGCAAGGGCCTCTTCTAAAGCTTCAGCTGCTGCTGTCGAAGCAATAATTCTTCTTTGCCTAGCTTCCTGCATAAAAAGTAAACATTAGATAGAAGCAGATCACTAGTTTTACTATTAGAATCAACCATCGAGGCCTCTTGTTAATACACATTTTCCTCGGTTAACTCCAAAAAAATCTACTAAAACTTCCCAGTCAACTAAATTCGAAGTGCATTATCCACACTGAAACGTTAAAATGTTCCAAAAGAACAATTAAAGTAAAAGCCTACCCTTCCGAGCCGTGCCAAATCTGAAGACACTGTATCTAAAGGAATGCTTCCATCAGTCCATTTCTTCTCATGAATAGTGATTACTGGAGCTGCAACTTTGTGTTTCTCGACTGCTGCAGGACTTTCAATTGGACTAGATTTTATAATATCATCACTTGAAATGTCATCCCGAATGCTCACATCACTTAATCGTCTGGATATAGCAGCCTATTTAACAATACAAGTGTTCATGGTTGCATGAGAAACATTAACCAACTGTAAATTCAAATATTAACAACAGATAAGTTCGAGTATCTAATTGATCATGACCGAAATCCAATTTTTGGCAATTCAATGACCAAACGATCAATGGATAAATTTTGACATGGAATCAATTCAACAAAACCCATAACAGGATCAAATTTAAAATTTAAAAAGAATGTGATGTCAAACTCACCTGAGTTCTCAAAATTGCTTGAAAATCCGGCCTATTCTTTGTCCCAATCTTGTCTTTATGCTCTGAAGGACCACCACCCAAAACTGGCCCTTCATCCCAGCTCTTCCTTACTGGTTTTGTTGCACCCACGAGAGCCTCAGAAACCTTAGAAATTCCAGCAGCAATAGTAGTGATTTTCTTCTTTCCTGATGAATCTACAGCCTTAAGCCCACCAGATAATCGTCGGCCAGGGGATAAAGACATTCTCCTTGCCACCACCGGACTTGCCTGCCGCTTTCCAGCAGTTGGAGAGGGCTGTCGATACCTCGATGGCACAATGATGGCTGGCTCTTTTGCACTCTTCCTGTTCTCCTCTTTGGCAGCAACCAAACTCGGCACGGTACATTTTGATGGCACCGGAGAAGCAGAACGCTTGACCTTCCCAGCCGGAGATGGATCCCTCTCCGCCACAGCCAAGTTCTTCCTCCCTGCCGAAATAGACCTTTGCCGGGTGGCCGCCGGTGATGAGAACCTTTGTGGAGGCTTTGCAGAGCTCCCTTTCGACTCATCCCCGGAATCTGAAACTAAATTGACATTCACATTTTCCTTGGGAGGAGCAGATACTTGCCTAATAGCTTTCCTCTTTTCAACATCCTTGACTTCGATTGGTTTACTTTTTACTTCCTCACCAGAAACTCCATTTTTAGACGAATAAGCAGCAAAAGGGTGGTCGGAATCCGTGGCCGGCTGGATGACGAACCCATTTTTGGAAGGGGAAATACGGGCAATTAGGGGTTCTGGAGACCCAATAAAGGCATGCCGACCGGCAATGGGCCTGAGATTCACGGCCCGAGGAACCGGAGGAGAATCGAAAACGAACCGATCGAGATGGACGAATTGACCTAGCTGAAGCCGATTGGTGAGGATTAGGTCAGTATCCTTCTCGGAGAGGGAGATGTAAGTGGAGTTTTGGGAGTCGGAAAGCTGAACGTAGAATCCATGGTGTGGCCAGAGGGAATCGGAAGTGGAGAGTGCCGGAACAATACCTATTACTTGAAGAAGCGGGGAACGGTGGTCGCCGGTGACTCGGGTACCGGAGTTCATGGATTGGAGAAGTTTCAGAAGGATTCCGGGAGTCAAACTAGCCATTTTACTATGCAGTGGAAATTTGGGGGGTTTTTTTGCCCTAATTTGTCAAAATTGGACAGCGAATTTGAAAGAATCGGATTCAGTAAATGATGAAAATGAACATGGCGGAGAAAGAGATCGGAGAGCTGGGAGTGGGAGAAAAAGACACGGGGAAAGATTTCTGTAATGGCGAGTGAACGTTACTGATTTTCAAATTTCGAAATCCCGCTGCTATTTTTAAAAGTTTCAAAAACAATTTGAATCGGGTCGGGTAGGATCCTACAAGTAACGGGCCTAACGGCTGCGCAGATCACTCTCAATCATTTTGATGAGTTTGGATCACTATTCACGAGTTCTTCTCCCATTCAATAACGGAATATTCGTATTAGAAATTTACAAAGGAAAGCTAGACCAAAATGTCACGATTAAGAGAAATAAGAGTTTTAGAGTCTCAAAGTCGAAAGTATTTCTGATTAAATATTTCGATAAAAGGATTTTTGTAACTGTTTTACACTTTGATAATTCATTATTTGTAGATTTTGTAACACTTTTGTGTAAAATGTTTTACACGAATTGATTTGTAGATTTTTTTAATATTTTTTGTATTAAATGTTCTACACTAATTGATGATCGATTCATTGTTTTTTTTTTTTGGAAAAAAATACTTGTATATTAGTTACGAAATATTTAAATTATTATATCGCATTCTATCGATTCATTGTTTGTTTATTCCACGATCTGAGATTGCATACCGAAATACTAGGCATTGGGTATATTTGCCAAAAACAGATTTTTAGTTTTCGGTTGCATGTTTATACAAAGGTCTAGGGAGACTCTCATAATACTACTAGTTCTGTGGAGTCTGCAACTCGTCATGATTCAATCAAAACCAGCCACTATTGGCGATTTGGCAGCATTGGACCGAAGGCTGGAAAGTGGAAACCTTAACTCTGTAACTTGAAGGTGCTGCTATTCCCCAAAATCGTTGTGGATACATGTTTTTTAAGTGCCCAAAAAGTTTAAATCGGCCTAATTCAACCCTTCTCAAAAAGATTAATCTTTATTAAACATAATGCTTCCTCAGTATATATAAAAAGGGGAAAAGAAACAGTTAGTAATATAACCCTAGAGGTTATAAACAAATTTCAATTTCCTTTACAGAATGGGTAGGGTATTACACAGAATCTATTTGCCTGACTTATTCCTAAGGCCTTGAGTCAGTAAACCAAACGTAGATCAAATTTGTGCCTCATTTTTTTTTTTTTAATTATATATAGAAGGGAAGCCAATGACTTAATTACACGGTATCCCGAGTAGTTCGGGATGAAATGATCCTATCTAAGTCTACACTCTCCTTAATACTCAACGGAAGTGTTGACAAAATATGCTTTCTTATGGAAAAGATAATTCAAATTTCACTAAGACATCCGCGATTTCATTATTCCATCTCCTCGTATGCCTTATCGAAACTCGCCAATGGAGTTGGAGTAACGTCTTAATCCTATAAAAGACGTTATTATTTACAAACGAAGTGACCTCGTTTGACATAAATTTAAAAGCTTTGATGGAGTCATAACTCTAATTGGACATTCTTGAAACCTAAGACCCAGGCTATTTTTAAGCCTATATATGCTCCCCAAAGTTCTGCTTCGAGTACACTGCAATATCCCAAGTTGGCTGTGAAACCAATTTTTTTTTTTTTTCGTACTGAGGGAGCTAAATGCTCAGCACAAAAAATCTGTCTCTAGGAGGAGTCGGACAGTCTGCAACTAATGTATCTAAGGTAGAACTCTAGGAGGAGTCGGACAGTCTGCAGCTAATGTATCTAAGGTAGAACTCGGGGGTTTGCCAAAATATGTAACCCCGGCTGTACAGAAAGGCCTAACTTTGCTAGAGAGTCCACAACTTCGTTCCCCTTACGCTTTATGTGAGAAGTTTCAACAACCCACCGATAATTTAGCAAGGCTGTGAAACCAAATTTGTTCTTCGTAAGTAAATACTGATGAAGTGCTGATTAAAATCTTTCAAGATAAGCCCAAATAATGAAATACGCTGGTAGAAGACATCAACAGTTTCAAAAATCAATCATCGAATAAACTGACAAAATGTAGGAGACTGCAGTTTGAATCAAATGAATAACGTGACAGGATAACCTTTCCAAAAAAAAAAAAAACGTGACAGGATAAGCTAGCTATCTATACAGAAGTGGAAGTCTGGAAGGTATAGCTTGTTCAGTGCTTTACAGGAAGTAAAACTTGATAAAAACTTCGAGATGATTTGAACATCTCTACGAAGCATGGGGGTATTGGATTAATGTCTTTGAAAAAAGATATATTGTCATGGATCAGAGAGGACGGGAGCTCAATCCAGCTGGCTAAACATTGCAACTATAGGGGTGTATACCAATATAGGAATTTTCTACATTGTAAGTCCAAAAGAAGTCCTTAGGCGACAAAGAATAAGAATACCATGAGGAAGACTATGACTACGATGAATAATTTGATCATCAACCATCGGTTTGATGAGATACTGTTGAAATACCTCACCAACTGACTTTGTGCCCCTTCCACATTTGAAAGTGTATCTTCCATGTTTTCGTCAATTCTGCCCGGTAAAGGAAACATAAATCAGTACGCATTCCAAATTTACTTTAAAGATTTATCACTCCAATAACTCCATTTCAAATAAGAACAACCATATACTTATCATGGCTTTAGATAACAAAAAATATTAAAGGCTGCTGAGGTACTATCTACCCCATAGAATACATACACAATAAACACTAGAAAAAGTCTGATAGTATCATTTAAATGACCATTCATATCCCTCCTAGATTCATGTGAAAAATCCAAACTAAAGAACAACCAAATTTGTGCAAATAGCAGTAAAGGACCAACCTGATAGCAAGTTCACCTTGCTGAGAAACCATGGTTGCTAATTGGGTGAAAATATTTCCGAGTTCATGAATTGTAGACTCAACACTTTGAAGGGCTCCTGCTCTGCTTTGCATGTAACTGTCCTGTAATGGAACCATTTGCTGCTGTTGACTCTGCTGCTGTAATAGCGGCTGCGATTCACCGCCATCCGTCTTCCTGGAAACACGGAAATCAGAAATGAGTATTTTGAAAATACAACATCAAACCATTTTTCTATCTGAAAATCGTTGCAGTAAAGTTTGAAATGTTTGGAATGCAGACAAGAAAGCAGAATGAGAAAATCTCTTGCACCAGATAAAACAATTCCGCCGCATTTTCAGAAAAGCCAAAATGTCAGTTTGAATTCATCAAGTACACAAATAGTTACTATATCAGAAAACCTAACTAGCTTCAAACTGTTAATTGCCCAAAGTTTAAAAATTACAAAGACAATAAATGACCACATTTTGATGGCTTAATCAAGACATAAGAGGCCTGATTTGGAGGAAGTGTCAAGGAAATTCTCAAAACAGCCCACATGATGCTGGTTTAAGTACTAAAACATCTTCTGAGTTACAAAATGCTCCGGAGATCTTACCAATGGTTACCTAAACACGAGCAGAAATTGAGGGTAGTATAAACTAGAACACTGATAGGGAAGGGCAGACACATAGTAGAAACTAGAATTCTGAGGTGGTAGTGCAGTAAACTAGATAAAATAATTAAAGAAACCCAATGAGAAGATGAGAGAAATATGCTAGAAGGTGTTTCTTAAATGTGCCTAAGAGGCCTTAATGTATTAGTACAGAGCAGGATTATTAATTTATTAGCTCAAATTAAAAAGATCTAAGAGGAATTAGAACAAAATTTAGTAAAGACTTATGTTATTCCACCTAAATGAGAATCATGTGTTTTGACACAACATTATTTCTGCTTGATGCTGGCTTGGCTTGGCTTGCCAGTCCCATGAACATGAGCTAATTTTAAGAAAGGAACCAACAGTCAAACAGAATCACAACCAAATCCAGTATATTAGAACCTGAATATACCGATATCTCAACAGCGAAAGCATATAATCAACTTCCAAAAAGGTAGGTAGACACATACATCAGCATTGGAAAAACAGAATACTAGACCTTGAGCTGGCTAGAGGATTACATGTCACTTATCCGCCTAATAATACACTTATATATCAGGGTTTGATTTAGAAAAAAAAAAGGCTCTAAGATATCAAATTTTCACCTTTGAGAAACAGCCTCGCTGACCCATGGGGGTGGAGATATTGCTGCACTAGCAGCTGTTCTTGTTGCTAATGGTCGTTGTCGGATGAAAGGATTAGAATCTGTTGAAGCAGAAGAAGAGAAAAGTTGTTTCCTGCTCTCATGACTCCTGAGATTCTGCAAGCCAAAACAATAACAAAGTTATAAAATATGAAGCAATAGCCTTCTGTGACTGATAAAATCACAAGTATTATGTAGTTGCTATTCCATTAAGTGGTGACTGGCAGACCTCATTTCTCATAGTGAGGATTTCTTTGAATTCTTTTGTTGTATTCATCAAGCTACTCTTCAAATTATCAACAACTGTCGTCAAATGAGCAGAGCTATCACTAGACAAATGTCCTCCATTTTGGGAGTCGGAGAGGAGCTGAAGGTCTACTATAGCCGAGTTTAAAGCAGTGATGTCCTGCTTGATCACTGCAGTCAACTCTTGTATCTCCACAGTTGGGTCATCGAAAACAGATTTTTTCTTTGCCACTGCACGGACATAAATCACGTCAAGCTCTTTCTATCATTCTTACAAAATCATATTTACAATCAACAGTTGGGAGTACTCTTTTACAAAATCACTTCAGTAGGGAACAGAAGGGATTGAAATTAAATGCACTTCCAATCAAAGATAACAATATCTAAGTTTCCTGTGGACAATACCAAAATACTTTAACCACTGTGGAAGTCCTGATTTTGGTTCTAGGAAGAAAAATGATTCCTCATCCGGTCAGAAGGGAGTGACTATGTTTCAATTCGGTGCAGGATTTATGTCCAGGGTCTAGGATGGTTTTTGCATTTCTTTTTTTCAGGGCAACAAGACTTTCTTGTATGATTCAATTATTCTATATCATCTTACTGATAACTAATGACAATTCATAAACAGCAACTGCAGTCGCATTTCATATTCCAACTTAAAATCTTAACAGAATGTTAGCCATTGGGCATTGGCAATTGGCATACAAATGAAGAAACTCCAAGCACTTCATAACACAACAAGAGAATCTAAAAAACATAAGGAAAAAAGAAAAGTTCCAATCAAATCATTTTCTGCAATCTACTAGTACCAGAAAACAATAGGCAATTCATTTGGAAATATTAAAAGAAAAGAAAGAAAAAAAATCAACTGATTAGGTGAAAATTGAAATAATTCGAGTAGTTTCTCACATTTGGCAAGCTTAGAGAGCTTCTGAGAGGTCTGATGGATCCCCAAGGTAATCCTTCCGGCCTTCTTGTTGAACTCCGATTGAATCGGCGACGCGATCCGCGTCGGTGGCTGAGCTGAGGAAATAAGGTCACCACCAACGGGGCCAACGCCGCCGGCGATACTACCGCCGTTCGGTGCATTCGGCGGCGAAGCTAACGACGGTGAGGACTTCTTGAGCTTCTCGGCTACACTGGCGAACTCAATCGTTCGATCTCTGTACGAGGACGCTACTTTGACAGGCATCTTTAATCACATCGACTTTCTTTTTTTCCGCCACAAGCAGCAGCACATGGTGCTCCTCTATTATGTATGCTCATTTGATTCACACGCGCCACTACATGAGTTTTCTTTTTTCTTTTCCTAAAGTAACCCAAAGCATTAAACTATTTTCCAGAATAACTGAACTTTAAATCAAAATCCTAAAATGACTTTTTCCCGTGGCTGTTAATTTTCGCTCAGTAAATATGTTTTTTCTTTCCTGAATTTCACCCTATTTTACTCATTCCCGCCTCCAACTTGGTTGACGTTATGGTCTTGCTTTTTCTTCATCCATGGACTTTTCATCTTTCTTTACGGAAAGGCACAATTAACCCTTGTTGATGTCATCGTCTTGCTCTCCATTTCCACGATGGTTTATCTCTCCCTACCGAGTACCGAGAAAGGCACAATTCGTTAATGTGATTGATATTCTAGAAATTAATGTTAACTCCTCTCTTTGGTTCCTTTTTTTTAATATACTATAGTATTCTACCTGTACGTTGTATAAAATTTTGAATATAATAGTGTCTAAATTTAAATCCTCCTTTCATTTCTAGCTCAAATTTTGTACTAAAAGTTAAATCTCAAATTGGACAATAATTTTAGGACAAAGAGAGTTGTATATATTTTTCACATATCTACTTGTTCATACAATTGATGTAGAGATATGATTTTATAAGTTATTTACAAACAGGTAATTTGATATCACTTCATGTCTTTTAATTTTATTTTTTCTACATATCTACTTGTTTAAATACCTAAAATTGGACATTTGTATACTCCAGATAAAAAGTAATTTAAATTGTAGGTATCGTTCTAATTGTTGTGCAATAAAAAATTATTCGAAAATACAATAACGAATATAAATATATTAGATGATGGACAATGGATATCACGAGAAAGAGGGAGGAAAAAAAACTCTGCGTTTACAAATGAAAATAGCAACGGTTCATATACCTTAAAAACAATTGATCAAAGCAATTAAAATTGGATCGAATAGAATTGTTGAATGTTAAAATAACAACGGTTCATTTTGAGTGTTAACTTACTTTTTCTACGATTAAAAGAAGATTATCAATCAAACAAAAAGGAAATCATAATTTACAATCATGCTGAATTCCTTAACGGAGTAAAACTGCAAAACACAACGCATATAGATTTGGCTATACAATGGGGAATTAAAACCCGATTTCATACCAACACTTCTCAGAAATTTCACATCATCCTATTCTCCAGTGAGTTTTGCCCATTCGATCGAGCCACTAAGAGCAATTTTTTTTTTTTTTTTTTGGTTACAATAAGAAAAATTATTGCCGTACATTTTTAGGGTGTGCAACTCCTATAACATCATGTTGTATCCCTATGAGTGTTATTGCAATGGTGAAGGGAGATGAGGAAGTTTGCGACGTCCATACTGGAGTGGTACGTGGCATTAGCAAGTTGATGAGTCGAGATTGGTTGGTGGAGATTGATCATATATACCGAAAAGTAAATTTTATGGTTGATTACTTAGTATTTTTGATGTCTTATAATCGTATTGGTTAGCAAAGACTTGTCCCACTAAGAGCAATTTTAGCCATAAGTGACTGGAATTACATTATTGATGAAAATTCTTGTATGATATCACGGTTTAAGTAACCTGAATGTATGAATACTTCATCCATATTTGATCGAGATATTTATTATAAGTCTTTGGATATACAGTAGAACATCGGTAAATTAATAATCTATAAATTAATAACTTCTAATAATTAATAATTTTCTCCGGTCCTAACTTAGGATTAGTACAAAAAGTGAAAAAAAAATCAATAAAATGATAAAATAATAAAATAATAATAAATTAAGTAATTTAGTAAAAGTTCTTTTTTTCTCATACAGATTCTTTAAATTAATAATTCGCTAAATTAATAAATTTTGGTGGTCCCAACATTATTAATTTATAGAAGTTCTAATGTATAGTGAATATTCTACCACAATGGACAAATATTTTATGAATTAAAAGTTAGATAGTAAATTCATCTTGTCCGCACTGAGGAACACTATTGTATCGGATTAGGTGGTATATGGTTCTGGAGAACAACCTAAAGAAAAAACTTATAATTTTTTTGAAAATCTAAATTCAGTAAATATGGATATTCCTGATTGTTGAATCATCAATTTGACAATCCTAATCATTCAGATTTTGGCGATTCTCGATCATAACAGTTATGCGGTAAGAATACTCAAATAATTGCAGTTGGACAATTTCCAACAGTTTTAATAAAATATCTTTTATCTTAAAAAAAGACAATACAATGACAAGCAATAAGGAAAAAAGACCAAAAAAAAGAAAAAAACTCATAAGAGTTACTCTATAATTATTAGTGGGTGCTTTGTTCTGTGAGGTAAAACAAAAAAAAATAAAAAAATAAAGAAAACAAAATTACATTCTTTTTCTCAAAATCATAACAAACTAAGCGGTAAACGTTTATGGCTATAGTGACAAGGGCCATGGAATATATCATTGGTTAGGGTAGGATTAGTATTCTACTTCCCCTACAAATTATATTAAGAAATTATCAAAAAAAAAAAATCAGGAGAAAATAATATTGGTTCATTACCTTGCCCGTACGTACGTACCTCACATTCGAACGAGGTTTTAAGGATTTGATTTGCTTGTTCAATCTAATATGTTTTTCAAGCATTTAACTAGCTAAAAGTGTTTTATTTTTTATTTGCGTCAAAAAAGGGGAGAAAAAAAGCCATATTAATATGCATTTTTTTAATAGCTAATATTGGTTCACCATATCTTCTTCCTGAAGAGGGCATCTCGCCTACATACAAAACACATTTTTTCAAGAAGAAAAGCAAAAACAAAAACAAAAATCATAATTAATCCCGATGGAGTGACAAATTAGCTATGTATTCGCCTATTCTGTAAACTACAAGGCCGTTAATTTGTTTTTGTAATAATTAATACTAATTCAGTCTTAAAAAATAATTCATAACGAGTTTTAACGGAGAGATAATTTACCCACCAATGATTTGGCAGCACCATTTGGAATCACGAAGAAGTGACTTCAACGTCACTATCCAATCAACCCTTTCACCGAATGAAGAGGAAAAAGTTGTAGGTTGTCTCAAGGTAGCTTTTTACATGGTTGGTGGGCATCTGAAACTTCTTCCGGTAAGAAAAGAAGTTTTACCAAAACATCGCATCGTAAGCACCCCATTAATCTCATTCAAATTGATAAGAATATCTGAACCTTTTTTTTTTTTTTGGCATATGTTCAATCCACACATTGAAATATATACTTAAAAGGCACCAGAATCTCACTCTTATATACTCCCTTCGTCCCATAATTATTATCTACTTTGAATTTTCATTTTTAATATAAATTGTAATATTATCTACTTTGAATTTTCATTTTTAATATAAATTGTACTAAAAGTGAAATCTCAAATTGGACAATAATTTTGGACAGAGGGAGTGCAATCTATATAAAGCTCGGTACCGAATCTTTAGTTACACTTACATGCAATACTCTCTCCTTCACTTTCTGAAATCATGACAAGTGTTCATTCATTTAACTTACTTAATTATCATTGAAAAATAGAAAAGAAAATGTATTGGAAGAAGAAATATTTTCCAAAATTAACGAAACAAGATTAAAACAAATTCTTCCCAATTAATCTGAAGTCTAAATTTTAAAGATTCACGCTAAAAACAAATTCGTCATATCGCCTTCAACTAGAACCCTAATTTTTTTAAAAAAACCCTAATCTTTCTAGCACACCTCAATTAATAATCTCTCAAACTCCAAGCGTCCCTACCTTTTGTATTGGACAGATTGCCGGCGAACGGTGCTGCAATTTTTTAGTCCGAGATAACTCCGATGAATCAAATGACGGTGTCGGCGGCATTCGGTGAAGACGGCAGTGCACGAGTTGCAAAAGTGAAGGGAAGAAAGTGATCGAGGAAAATTGCTCGACCGTGAGGAAATCAATAGGTATGTGGAAGTGTGAATAAAGTCAAGACTTCTACAACGTTTTGGTTTCTGAAAACTTGTAAAGAAAAGTTTGCGAAGAATAATTGGTGATGAAACCCAAAATAAATGAATTGTACAACATGTTGTGTGGAAATAATTTTTTTTTTTATTTTTAAATCAATTTTGCTGGTTAAGGTTTCGAAGTGAATATTATTTTGTTGCATGTTTTTTAGATTGCATTGTATCTTCGAGAAAAAAAAATACATGATCATTTAGAGTGGGGATTCTACAACAAATTAGGGTTCTAAGACAAATGTGTTTGCGTGATTCTTTGAAAAGTTTAGACTTCGGATTATGAAGAAATTATTTTTAATTTGTTGAATTTTATTCTGAAATTAGAAAATGACATGTATTTTTCATTTTACAATGATAATTGAGTAACTTAGGATTAACTAAACAGAGTCAGGCTTGATTTGAAGTGAGTCAAGTAAAAAGATTACAAGAAAGTGACCCCAATTTAGGGTTTTCATTCCATTGTTATAGAATAATTTATTTTTCTTTTTTGAAAAAAATCTCTCCAAAAATTATGAAGCTCAATAGATGCTAAAAGCATACAGTTGATATCAACTTACAGTAATCTCGGCCTCCTACTACTACACACAACTTCACAAACTTAAGAATGTAACCAACCGGCCAAAACTTTTTACGTTCCAATGACACTGGTTGCATTTTTTTTTTACTTTTTTTTTTACAACTTGACCCAAGACCCTAACCGATTTGAGAATATACTATTTATGTTATTGTAGTTTATTTATTTATTTTTTTTTTTGTGTACAATAGAAGAAGTAAATCCATGCCTTACATTGTTATACTTCAGGGACTCTTCATATCCTCAAAATTGTCCCGCGATTGTAACCGTTCCCTAATTAATTCTGTGTGCAATTCGCGCTGCTTCCTGATCCAACTTCAATTTCCACCTCCGCAAACTCTCAGAAGCCCATAAGCAATCACTTGCCTTCCGAGGGATAATACGGATATGTGAGTATATTGTGAGTATATGGAATATAACTTGGCCAGCAGCCAACAAAATTCGATGAATCAGTACCATTGGTAAATACTCTCATATACGATATCTCCAAACCAGGAAAGAAACCGAAAACCATAGGGGGAAAAAAACTCCCTCCAATATACAGTCCAGTATAAGATTCATGCATGTTTGTTATACCATTTTACATTTAAATATAAGACCTGTTTCTGTTGGGACGAAATTAATGAATGTGCAAGTCGTTCATAGATTGCCTTACGTAGTTTTGAGTACATAGTAGCTAGGTATAACGTAATTTTCAGATTAAATTAATAAATTACGGTAGTCTTTAACTACTTAAATCCATGCTTTGCTTAGTTATCATCAGATGGTAGCTAATTAAGAGAT